AGAAGAAACCCAAAGCAATCGAAACTGAAATTGCAAATAGAAATGTTATCTTCCAGAGAAAAGAGGTTCTAAACCTCAGACTGGGGAGCCCCATAGAAGACCTGATTTCAGTTTTTTTGCATGCTGTAGACAAGTTACTGAGGGAAATGGAAATAAACACCCAATGTTGATCTGGACTTGGAAATGCATTTGGTAGGGCAAGACCCAAAACAGTGCTTGGCCAGGAAGAAGTCCTGTTTGTGAAAACCATTTGGTGAACTCTGTCTACCGGCTGCTGGTGAAGCAGTGGCTGTCAAGCCCAGGAGAATCACACTAGAATCACCCGGTCCTTTAAAACCAGGCTCACCCCAGACTTGCTGTCCGGTGTCCCTTGCCATGGTTGCTTTTCTGAAGCTCTAGTCACTGCAGCTGCTCGTGTGAAAGTGTTGGTTACCTCTGACTGCAGCCTCCTGTTCCGGCTCGAGAGCCCCTTGCTGTAGGCTCAGGGGGAAAGGTGCTCTGCGGTCCCCGCGTCCATGGGAACGGAGCCTGGTCAGTTTCATTGCCACATCCTAAACTGAGAACAGAGCCTGCGCCTAGGGAGCCAGCCTTGAGGCCTGACTGCCTGCCAAGTGCCTTTATTCTAGTGCTTATTCATTCTTTTCAATTCTTCTTGGTTTTTTCCTCCTCTGACCTTTTTATTTGTAAGAGAAAAGGGGTGTAGGGGAATTTTCTAGTTCTTCACGATAATGAACCATGGGGCTGGAATCAGCTGTGCTCTTCTTGGGACTGCAAACCCCTAGCTCCAGAAACCCTACAGGCGCCTTTGAAGGTCATGTCTTAGGAGCATGGTTCTCAGCTGGGATACAGAGCAGAATTAGCTGTTGGCTTCTTAAGACTACAGGTGTCTGTGCCCACCTCAAGCCAACTGACTCCGAGTATGCAAGCATGGGATTCAGGTATGTGTGGTTTTAAGAAGCTCTGATTACCAAACATCCTTGGCCCAGCAGCGGCAGCAGCACCTGGGAGCCTGGTAGAAATGCAAACTCAGCCTCCTCCCCAGGCCTGCTGAATCAGACACGTGGAGGGTGAGGCCTGGGCAATGGTCTGTGGGTTAGCAAGGCCTCCAGGTGAGCCAGAGGCTCACTCTGGTTTCAGAGCCTCTGCTTTAGGTCATCTTTTTGGGTCTAAGCAGCAGTTAGGAGAAAGTGTCTAAATGAGTGTCATTTGATTATTTCTTAGCTTGTAGCTCTGACAGCTCTGACCTCACTGCTCCTCTGCTAATTCACACTAATTCAGCAAACTTTTCCACTGGTCACTTTTTGTCTCTCTCTTTTTTTCTTAAGATTTAATTTATTTATTAGAGAGTGAGAGCACAAGCTGGGGGGGGCAGAGGGAGAGAGGGAGAAGGGGCTTCGATCCCAGGACTTCGGGATCATGACCTGAGCTGAAGGCAGACACTGAACCAACTGAGCCACCGAGGCGCCCTACTCTTTGTCTCTTAAATTTCCCTGGAGCATTTGCTGATTCCTCCCCTGGTCAGGCACCACTGGGCAGCCTGCAGGACCCTTCTTAAATTTTTTCCCTCCTGAAAGCTTTTATTTTGTCTTTTCCCATAGAAAAAATAAGTGCCCATCACATTCATTTTGGTCCTTCTTATGGCTCATGTATTCTCTTTACCTCCCATCCCCTGCACCCTTGGGCAGATAACTTAACCTCTCTGTTCTCTTGTCTGTAAATGGAAATACTACTAGTACCTACTTCTTCAAATGAGGTTAACACTTGTTGAGGTGCTTAAAATAGTACTCAAGTGTCAATTCTAGAAGTAATCGGGGCACCTGGGTAGCTCAGTGGGTTAAGGCCTCTGCCTTCAGCTTGGGTCATGATCCCGGGGTCCTGGGACCAAGCCCCGCATCAGGCTCTCTGCTCCACGGGGAGCCTGCTTCCTCCTCTCTCTCTGCCTGCCTCTCTGCCTACTTGTGATCTCTCTCTGTCAAATATATAAATAAAATCTTAAATAAATAAAATCTTAAAAAAAAAAAATTCTAGAAGTAATCGTTCCTAGCACTGAATAATGGGTATATAACATTCTGTAGTGCACAGCACATAAACCTAGCTTTTCTCACTAACAACTTTAGGGCCCTAAGCATTTTGCACTTTTGTAGCTGTCTTTATCCTCCCAAAAAGCTTCGTTTTAAAGCTTTTTGATAGCAAGTAATTTTTTTTTTTCCTCAACTCTGAATCTCATTCTCCCAAAGTACCTAACATATGCTCAGTAAATGCTTATGACATTGTACTGAGCTCCACTGGCAATGTAGGCTAAGAAGTCCCAAAGGAGCCCTTCCCAAGCCTGTCCCCCATCTCTCTTTCTTTGGGCCAATGCCTTCAGTCCCTGGGTTCTTGATGATGTCATCCTTCCTCAAGGCCCTAGAGGAAGAAGATGGGTCTCTGGGTGCCTGGCTCTTGAGTTCAGTGAATAATGCACTCTGCCTGGAATATCTCTTTTTCAGATAACAGGTTCCTCTGAAAATCATCCAGAATGGCCTAGACAGTTCTTCCTGTTTGTCACAAAATCCTGAAGAGCAGATCTCTGAGCCATGTTTCTGACTCCTTGCGAAACAAATGAAATTCCTACTTAAGGCAGTGTTGTCTCGAGGCAGCAATGGATGGGAAGGGTAGGGAAGTGGTACGTGGAGACCACATGGTGTCGTGGTGTCATTACTAAATTGTACTGGGACAGGTGACGCAGAGGTTGAGGACCCCAACTATCTGGGGCTTCCTTGCTTCTTTGTAAAAATGGCTGCCCTCCTACTTGAACTTGGACTTCCGCAGACTCTGAGTTAAGAGCAGAAGTGCGTCTGCAGCCACAGTTGGCAGATGGTGGATGGGGTACTCCAGGGTGCCCAGTCGTATTGGAGCATGAGCCCCCACCTTGCCTCTTGGGGCAAACTTCTTTTGTAACAATTTGATGTGTAACATGAATATTCTATGTTTTTGATTCCTGGACTATTGCAAGCCTATGAGATTTTGCAATTTCAAGTAAGTTTTTTTTATTACCATAATCTTTTGCATTTCTGTTATGTTTATGATAGTTTTCTAGAAGGCACTAGTGTTCACTGAGTTATGAGATATCTAAATTTCAGCAAGGCCTCTGATGAGGTCTATCACGATGTTCTTGTAGATGAAATTCCATGCACAGAAGAGTCAAGTTAGGAGGATTTGTAACTGGTAATGAATTGGTGAGAGTTTGGAATAGGCAGGGGATGGGGCTTCTTCTAACTGCTTCTGCTGCTTCTAACAGTCACTGACACCTTCTGCCCTCCACACTGGCCCAGTCCACAGTTTCAGTAAGTACTTGATTACAGGCATTTACGACATGCTTGTCACATTGAGGTTTACACAACTTCTGTTGGATGATGAATATGTTGGTTGTATGGTTGTATGGGTTCTAGGAGGTGCCCAAGACTCCTTCCCTGGTTAGTCACCCAGTACTGCCCATTTTACTCCCTCACTGGCTTCTCAAATCCATCTTCTTCTCCCTATCCCTTCCTTCCCTCATCATTTCTCTTCTAGACTACTGCCTGACCTTGTTGCTTGAAATAACCTCCCAGTAGCATTGCCTTGCCTCCAGAAGAACGTCCAGGCTCCTACGCATGACCTAGGAGGTTCTGAATGTCCTGGCCACAACGCTTCTCTAGCCTCATCTCCTGCTGTTCACCACCTTGTACTCCATGCTGTAGTCCTATCAGACTGCCTGTCACTCCCCACATAGTCCATTCTGGTTCATGCCTTTGGACCTTTGCTCTGCCTTTGGTGGCTCCAACACATTGTCCCCTCCTTTCCCCTTGAAGACTCAGATTATCGTTTGCCGCACTATATTGGAATTACCTGCTCATTTCTCACTCTCAGACTAGACTAGAAACTCCTTAAGGACAGCGTTCTCATTTTGTTTAGCTCCCAGGACATAGTAAGCACGAAATGTGTTGTTTTGATCCCAAGTGAGAATACGAAAAGATCTTGGCAATCTAAAAGGGAGACCATAAAACTTAACAGGGAGATAAAATTTAACAGTGGTTTTACTTGGGTTTAAAACAAGCAAACAAAGAAAACAAGGTGGGAGGAAGATGACTCACCACGCTCAGCAGACCATGTAAAAAAAGAAAGGCTGTGGTTTCAGTTGACTTTAAGCTCCATGAGTCAACAGTGTGATGCAACTCCAGTCACCTAGTTTCAGAACAGGGAAAGTCATCATCCTGTGGTCATACCACGCGGGAAAGTCATGTTCCCCTCTATGGCACCGGACCCTAAGAGGGGGGAAGGATATCCAAAGGAGGGCAGCTAGAATATCAAGAGAAGACAAACCCCACCATATGGGGAATCGTTGGAGGAAGTAGGGGTGTTTCATCTGGAGAAGATGGGGGCTATCATGCCTAGGCTCACTGAGAACCTCCAAATGCAGAATTAGGCCAATGAGTAGATTGTCTCAAAAGAGGGTGGTGACACTTAGATCGCCTAACAATGGAATAGGCAGTCTGCCTTGTGAGCTCCAAGTCACTGTAAGGGCAGAACAGGAGCCTTCGAGGAAGGGTCTATAGAGGGATCTGAGCCCCTAAAGGAAGTTTGGACTAGATGTCCTTTTATCCTGCTGAACTCTGAGGCTAAGTGATTCAGGAGGTCCCTGAGTTCATACCTATGAAGTGTTGGGGAGGGGTGCCAGGAGCACTTTTCCTGATAGCAAAGCCTTTTGTCCCTCTGGGGGAAACATTATGAATTACTGAATAGAAATTGCTTCCGGGCAAATGTAGTAAGTGACTAGCCCGTTTAGGTTCAGACTTCTGGTTCATGCCTTCAGACTTCTGAACCTGCATGGGCTGGTCACTTAACTGCATCATTCCCGTGAAATCTGCTCAGGAAAAACATCTGGTGGTTCCCATCCACGTACCCAGCGCCTTGCATTCTTCACTGCCCTTTTGTGGGACTTTGAAGTGATCACCTCTTTCCCTTACTTTTTGCTTTTTCAGCTGTGGAGCATGTTGGCTTCTGGGAGGACGTCAGGAGGATCATCTCACAATCCGAGCTGATAACGGGATTCCCCTATTCCTTCACGGCACCAGGCCTGCCCCAGTACCTGCAGAGCCTCACCAAACTAGCCATCGCCGCAGTGTGGGCGGTGGCGGCCCAGGCTGGAGAGCAGGCAGAGGCCATTCCCATCTCCTTCTGTCAGCTGTTGGAGTCCTCTTTTCCCGAAGTGCGCCTGCTGACGTTGGATGCCCTGCTGGAAAGGTTCTCTACAGCGGCCTCTGGATTAGGAGAGAAGGGACTGCCACCCTTGCTGTGCAATATGGGAGGGACATTCTTGATGTTGGCTATGAAGGAAAAGCACCCAGAATGCTTCTGCAAGGTAAAGTCTCTGGTGTGCGGACACTCCCCTTCCACTCCCCATGCTCTTTGGCAAGCTGACAGTAACAAGATCACGTAGACGGGATTGGGTTGGGCTTCCCCAGGAGCAATAGGAAGGAGATGCCGCATCCAGTAGGCAAGGACTCTCTTCGTACAGTGCTTGTCATGGCTTCGTGCACGGAAGGGCACTAAAAATAGTGATGACAATGGTAATGATGATGGCAATAAGCCAAGATAAAGACCAAGAGTAAGCCACTCAGCACCCCAAGAAATGCAGCACTGAAAATTGGCTGTAGAGCATGGCAGAGGGTAGTGTTTGTTAACATGGGTGTTTGGGGATAGGTGGCCACCTGGAAAGCATCATCAAAAGGAAAAGGCACTGGCCGAGGAATCAGGGCATCCAAACTCTGATCCCAGGTCACTAAGGTCCCTTGGGTATGTCACTGCTCCACCCTGTCTTGGTGGACCAAAATATTAAGGGGGAAATAAGAAGGCAGTGAAGCTTTTTGAAAGCTACACCCCTTTCTTGGTATAAGTGATGATTATTTGGCTTCTGGAGACTTTTTCCTGAGTACTTTTTTTTCCCCATGGATCTGACACACACAGATACTGAAAATTCTCCATTGCGTAGACCCCAGCGACTGGCTTCCCCAGACCGAGCACTGTATCCACCTCACCCCAAAGGAGTTCCTGATCTGGACAATGGATATTGCTTCCAATGAAAGGTTTGCCCCCTTTGCTCCCTCTGCAGCCTTGGCCGACATGTGGTCCTTCCCAGCAGTCAGTTAAATAATGGACTGGGGCACAGTCCTTACCTAAGGGCTTAGGTCCTATGTTTCCTTCTAAATCTCAGCCTAGGAGCATGTTCTAAGCTCAAGCTATAGAATGAGGTCAGAGTTTTCACATTAATAACCAAGAGGTAATTACTTCTGGAAGCATCTGTACGGCCTTGAGATGAGCATTTCCACCATTCACAATGGCATGGATTACAGACGATCGACAAGAACCCATCCGTATGCAAAGTGCACTTGGTTTTATTTTCTGTGTGTTTTTGGCTTACTTTTCCTAGGTCTGAAATTCAAAGTGTAGCTCTGAGACTTGCCTCCAGAGTGATCGCCCACCAGCTGCAGATATGTGAGGAGGTAAGGGTGGCCTGTGGCCCAAGGTCTGGGGTCTTTGACGCCAGGAAGGCGTCAGTGAGAGTGAACTGTCTCAGCAAGCAGAATCAGTGGGGCTGGATGTGTCCCCTCTGCAAAAGTGTTATTCGTGTGGATGTTTCACTTTGGGTATAACTTCTGTAGAATTTTCTGAGCACCACCATCAGTATTTCTTTTCTCTTGTTCTGGGCACGCTTGATTTGCGTGAGGGTAACACAACCTCTTCTCCTATAATACACGAACACACACACACACACACACTCAAACCCTTTGTTTTTTCCTATTTTTCTAGCTAGACTCTTTTAAAAAAGCGAGTGAGCAAGTCACTAGGATTGCGTCTTGGGCAACGAAGTATGAAATACATCCCTAAGGCTTCAGTGTTCCCCCTGGAACATGGCCCAGCTGGCTTTGTATGGAGGCCTGAATGTGCCCCTTCATCTCATGTGTCCTTTGGGGGAGAGGTGGAACTGAAGTAACCGAGACAGCTTCCTGGGAAGATGCCTTAGGACAAATATAAGTACACTTGGGGCATATGAGAAAGCTGCCCCCAGCAGAGAATTATTAGAAGTAGAAGGCAGTCGGTACTACAGTAAAGTTACCGGACGCTCTTGGTTACATGTGCCCATGCTGTGATGGTGACAGCATGACATCCCCGGTTGCAATTCCTTATGGTGAAGCAGCACTATCAGAGGTGTGGGAGATGGGGAGAGGAACAAAGATGGAGGGACAATGTCACAAGCAAGCAGGAGCATTAGACAGTGACGTTAAATGCCCCGTTGTGGAGGAGGCTGGAGAAATCCAGAGGAGGAAGGGAGTGCGGAGCTGCTAAGGAGAAGACTTCACAGAGGAGGTCGTTGTATTCAGAGAGTGGTGGCTGGGCAGAGGGGTCTGAGGGTGAGAGCTCAGCAGATCCACGGTTGCCGTGGATCATTCAGAAGCAGGCCAGGGGGCCCAAAGCTGGCTGGTCACTAGGAGAGACAAGAGCCAGAAAAAAAGTCAGTGGTGTGCGCCAAGGGTTTGAAGGGGAGAGGTTTGTAGGAAGGGAGAGGATTTGCTGAAAAAAACTGCAGCCCAGAAGGAAAAAAACAATTCCAAAAAAGCAGTCACAGGGCAGCCTATCCCATCCACTGAAAGATGTCGTTCTCATCTCCAGGTGTGTCTTAACCAGTAGTCATGTGCATCTTAAAGGCACTGCTTGGTACTTGAATGAAGCAGTATTTGATAAAAATTGGGAATTTTCTAGGGAGAGAGAAAGTAACCAAACCATAGAGAAATGCATAAAAGAAGTTCCCAGGAAGACCTGGGAGTCAGCCTCTTCCTCAGGGTCCCAGCTGCTCCTCAGTTCAGTTCCACAGAGGCCCATCAGTGGTTATTTTGAACAATTAAAGAGGCTTCTTCGATAGGGGAAGGAAAGTACATTTGGAACAATAATCCCCTTTCTAGAATACATAGAAAACCAGGGTTTAAAAGACGGAAACAATCCAGATGTCCATCAACTGATGACTAGGTAAACAAAATGTGGTATGTCCATTCAAGGAAATATTAGTCACAGAGAGTACGGATGCTGCTAAACCTGTAGCGCGCACGAACCTTACAAACTTGCTGAATGAAACAAGCCAGTCACAAAAGACCACATACTGCCTAGTTCAGTTTATGCGCAATGTCGAGAATAGGCAAATCCATAGAGGCAGAAAGTAGATAAGTGGTTTAGGGCTGGGGGTGGGGAGCTGACAGGATGGGGGATGGTAACTAAAGGGGCCAGGATTTCTCTTCTTGGTGATGAAAATGTTCTAAAATTGACTGGTGATGGTTGTACAAACTTGTGAACATACTAAAAACTCGACTATGTACTTTACATGGGTGAATTGTGTGGTGTGTGAATTGTATCTCAAAAAATAAAGCTGTTACTTTAAAAAAAAATAGAGCTTTCTTTGAACGATAATGTTAGTTAGGGTGCTGCTTTAAATGTTTTAGCGGAAACTCATCAATACAGTGGCTTAAACTAGATCACAGCAGTCAAAGCAGATAATAGTGGCATGACAGTATTGGGTCCCTAGACCTTTGTACCTTATTCTGCTGTTTTCAACCAGGCTTCGATCTTATGGTCCCAAATGGTTGCTCTAACTTCCACCATCTTGTCCTTATTCAGCTAGCAGGAAGGAGCAACTCAGGAAGTAAAGGTCATACTTGTTTTCTAAGGCATGACCCAAAAATAATACACCATTAGTCAGAACTTAACCAGTATTACTCCTAAGTGCAAAGGGGCCTGGGAAATGTAGTCTATATGCCCAGCCCAAAATTTGAGGTTCTGTTACTAAAGATAGAAGGAGCATCTGGCTCTGGGAGACAACAGTATTATTTGCTGCCGTAGCCTTTGCACAAAAGGCTTGTCTTTACTGAAGCTGTCAAACACACCAACCTTCTGATACTCCGATGTGCATCACAAAGACTCCAGGAACTTTCTTACTAGTTCTAGTGACTCTATTACTGAAAGACTGGTCGCACTTTCTTCCCTGGGCTTGTTTATTTCTCCCTAGCTGGGTTGGAAAAGCAACTAAAAAACTTTTCTTCCCCTGCGCTAAGAGCTAATTTGCATGTCCAGTGTGGTGTAGGTGGCTCGGACCTAATTCCATGTCAGCCCCTAACTGCATCGCGGACCTGCCATACGCTTTGTGCTTTCAGACCAAGGACTTCGTGGCCCCCACACTGAAGCGATGGGTTCAGCTGGTTGCCGCCTCCTGTGGAGAGCACCTTCCCACAGACTCCAGGCTGGCCGCTGCTGAAGCCCTCACTAGCACCGCACCGTTCTTGCTCACCAGCCCCCATCCTGTTCTTGGTAAGTGCACCGAGCCCAGGGAGCGGTCCAAGGTCCATTGAGCTCAATGAGCTAAAAGCATGAATAGATTACTCCAGGATAAAAAGTGGGGGAAGGTGAAAACTGACCGTGTGCTCTGTACCTTTCCATCTCTCAAATGTCTTCCCCCAACCCTCCCAATTCCTCCTTTTTCACAACAACCTCTTAACTGGCCTCCTTTCTTTCCATCTTACCCCCAAAGCCAACTCTTTACGCTTCCAAAAGCCTGTGCAGTCTTTCTGAAATACAGAAATGATCATTTCATGCCACTGCTTAAAGCCTTTGAGTGGGTTCCCGTTGCCTTCAGGATAAAATCTAAACCCCCTTTCACATGGCTCTGTGCCCTGCCCAGCCCTCCCTGCTCCTCGACCACCGCTCCTCAGCACAAGGCTCTGTGCATGCTTGGTGGGGAACAGTTCTCGAAACTGACTGCTGCTTGAATGACTTCTGTTTGTCTTTCAAGACTCAGCCTAAATGTCCCCTCTTCTAGGAAGCCTGTTCCGCTGATCTTGGTGAGAAAGGGATGGGACAGCCTGAAGCCAGGGCATTGAATAAGAAGAAAGGACAGGCTCAAAAGGTGTTTAGGAAGTAAATCAATAAGACTTGGAGGTTAACATGAAAGGAAGATTCAACAATTAAGAATAAGCCGTGGTCCCCATATCCACAGAGCTGTCAGTGGAGTTGTGGGGAAAGGATTTACAGAATGAAGGAGAGAACTGTTTTTGTAGGTGGTGAGCTTCACATTTTAAGCATTAGCACAGTTCAGACCAATGAAATGTCTCGTGTGCCTGGATCCCTCTGGGAAACAAAGTTGTCTTTGATAATCCTTTTAATTCTTTCTTCTAAGCGACTTCCAAGCATTTTTCTTATGCCCAAAGGAGGACTGGAAGGGCCTTCAGTGATGGTGACTTAATCATCCAACCCAGAGGAGTAAGAGCAAAACTTCACCAAAAACTTTGGTGAAGCTTCTCTAGTGAGAATATCATTTGCAGCATTTTCTGGGTGACTCTGACTACTATAACACTAGCTCACAGCAGGCAAAACGTGTGTGGAATAACCTAGAATACTGAGTGAAATGGAGTACTGGGTAAAAGCCATTGGTTCCTAATTAATTTCTGGAGCCGGCTACAGCATTCTAGGCAATAAGAGAGGAGGTCAGTGGTGGCTGGTGGCTGGTGGCTGTAAGAGCGTGAAGAGAAGGTACAGAACTGAGAGACAATGGACATAAAAGTTCATGGGGACAAGCCAAGGACAGAGCGAAGTCATTTAAGGAAAAAGAGAAATCGAAATGGACTAAAGAGGGAAGATTGAGGAACTCAGGGGGTATAAATGACCAAGTTAAGGAAGAAAATACTAAAAAAGGAAAATATTCAACCCTAGAGAACAATTAGAATGGACAGTTTCTGAAAGACTGCGTAAAATGTAAAGCCACATTTATAACAGAAAAGAGAGAACGAAACCCCAGAGAGATGTTGCTGTTTCTGGTATGACTAATGCATCTGTGTCTCTGGTCCCAGGTTCTCTGTGGGCAGACAAGAGAGAGGACAGTCGAAGGGGAGTTCTTAGGACAGGGCAGGTCCCCCATTGAAAGGCTAGGGGTGATGAGTGGTGGTCTTCTGTGGGCCTGCCATTATGCCCCTGCCCAAGCCTGGGCCCATCCCCTGTACAGCACACATGCTTTCTATGAGGCCCTGCCTACCTGTCACCTCCCTCCTGAAGTCTGCCTCTGACACACTGGTCCACTATGATCTTTCCCTGCTGTGAGGCACAGCCAGCCATTTCTGCCCCTGACTCCTCCTTGCCTTGTGTCTTCGACTTGATATTCCTTGCTGTTGTTCAGGCACATCTACTGTCTTTTCCTGTCCCATTGTCCACAGCAGTGCTTACCACAAGGACCACACAAAGCTCCTGCCAGGACGGGTGGTGGTCAGAGGGTGGCCCCCACATGGACGTGGCATGGGCTATCCTGCGTGGTTCCCTGCCCTTTTCAGTGCCTACTCCCCCCACCCCCATAAAGTGTAATCTTGATTGAAACTTTGCTTTCAGAATTTATAAGCTCAAGCAGTCACTCAAATCAACACTGGGCTCATTTCCCCAAAGCATTCTTGATGCATAAAGTTTCATTCCTGAGAATTGTGAGTCACTGTGGACAGCTGGGCCCGTTGTGGACAGCTTAGTCAGCCGGGCCACACCTTCCAGTCGGTCTTGCCTAGGGCTACTTGCCTCCAGAAGCCTTCCCCCTCCATCCCAAAAGACATTTCCAAACCTGACCCCTTAGGGCCCTCTCTCTTCCAGTGTTAATCTGACTGTCAAGTCTTCCTCTCTTGAAATACCCAGGAAGAAAGACATGGCTATTGCTCATTAAACACTGCTCTCATCCACCACGGATTGATTAATTGATTTTTAAAGATTTTTATTTATTTATGCATTTGAGACAGAGCATGAACATGGAGGAGGGACAGATGGAGAGAGAAGCGGGCTCCCCGCTGAGCAGGGAGTTTGACCTGGGACTCAATCCCAGGACCCCAAGATCATGACCTGAGCCAAAGGCAGACACTTGACCAACTGAGCCACCCAGGCGTGCCCCACCCCCAGCCCCAGGATTTAAAGCAGTATCTGTACCTGCCTGTAAATTGAACCGTAGGTAATTTGAATTCCTTTTGGTCTTCTCAGGATTGCAGGATACTCTTGCTCTCTGGAGATGTGTCCTCAACCTCCTTCAGAGTGAGGAGCCGGCCATCAGAGATGCAGCCACGGGAACGGTGGTGACCGCCATGTCACAGGGAAACACCTGTCAAGCAACAGGTATGGCGCTCTTACCGTTCGGCTGTGCCTTATGGCTCTCGGACAATAGCTGCACGCTTTTTCTGTGCATAGCCAGAGAGTGAATATTTTAGCCGTTGTTGGCCATTCGGTTTCTCTCTCTACTCTGCTGTTTTAGTGGGAAAACAGCCCTAAACACTAGGTAAACGTGGGCGTGACTGTGTTCTGATAAAACTTTATGGACAAGAACAGGCAGCTGTCCAGATTTGATCCGCTAGCCATAGTTTGCTGACCTCTGACGCCTAGGACGTCATGGAGGAAAATCGTCTTCAAAGATAGAAATCTAATAAGCAGTGTTGTTAGCTGGTTACATTGTCATCCATTTTAAATAAGGCTCAGTCGTGATTATCTGTGTGGTTACATAACCTGGGAATCATAGATCCAGCATTTTCTACTTCTGCTAGTTTTCACATGTGACAGAAACAGATGAGTGTGAGTCACGTTAACTGGGAGGAGAAGCAGGGTCACAGCTCTGGACAAGTAGCCAGCTGGGAGGTTGTCTGCTCTGGTGGACGTGGATTCTCTGCACTCAGGTTGTCGGGAAGGACTTTGGGGTCAGCCATCCCAAAGAGAAGCCAGAACCCCACCTGGAGGCAAGACATCCCAGGCTGAGCACACTAGACAGCAAAATGGGAGCGGGAGTAGCCATACAGGGTTTGTAACCGACTCGAGGCTCCTCGTCCCAGTGGCTGGGGATCCTGGAGGCTCCCCTTGGAATATGAACTTCCTCATTCTAGAGTCCTCTGTTGTCATGGCATAGGTGCGAGAAACTGAATTTTTAATAATCTCTTGGTGATGCTGCTCCAGGGCAGGTTTGGTTGGGACCTGCTTTGCCTCTCATGGGAAGACATACAGCTTGATTCTGGGAGTCATGTGCAAGAAGCCCTCTCCCCCACCACCACCTTCCTGGCCTGTCAGAGTTCCTGGATCTGTAATTCCGCCAGGAGTGATTCATTCCTTTTTCCAATTGCGTGTTTCCCTTAGAAGGACACACAGAACGCCCAGCAAGTGCTCAGTAAATATTTGGTGGAATACAGTACTCACGAGATTTCTCTAGGACCCTCTGCACCAAACATGGGAAGGGTGACGGCATACCGAAATTCGTCAGTGGACTTATTCCCTCCTAATCTTGAGAGTTGTTACCCGACTACTTTTATTTCTTTCAGAATTTCTCCAAGTTCACCTACAGTAAAAGTATATTACCATGGTCTTCCTCCTTCTAGTTTGAATTTTTCAAGAAATACAAACTAGTAATTACATATGGAGTGCCTTTCACATGTAAAAATCCATGTGTAAAAACCTCTGAGGAAAATAAATATAAAAGGCTACCTATTTTTGTATTCCCCACCTTGGCCTATAAAAAGAGGATCTAAGGCGTGAAAAAGACAAGGATTCTACAACAGTGAAATGTAGTGTGTTACCCTGGACCAGAGTTCCTGTGCCAGAGAGATGAAAAGCCGTACAGGAAATTTCTGGAACAACTGACAATATTGAAATATTATCTGTAGATTAAAATCAATGTTAAATTTCCTGAATTTGATAACTGTACTGTGGTTTTGTAAGAGAATATTTTGTTCTCTGGAAATACAGAACTAAAATATTAAGGGGCCAAATGGGGACGCCTCCTGCTACATACTCTTCGATGGTTCAGGAAAAATAATCGTGTGAGTGTAAATAGTAAACCCAGGTCTGGAGTTACTATACTTGCATCTTTTCTGTATATTTGAAGTTCTTTCAGAATTTAAAAAAGTTTGTTATTTTTTTTTTTAAATCCAATTCCACCACTTGAAAACAGCAACACAGGATATATTGCCAGACCATCTAACTGGTTTCCCAACAATTCAGCCCCTGCTGTGACTCCTCTCCCCTAAGTTATATGAAAACATCCTGCCCATTTTAACTCATTTTGAGTGAATTTTCACGTCCCCAAAAATCAAACCCAAGCCAGGTTCCTCAAAGGTTTCAGCAACGTAATGTCACTTGCTCAGCACTTCCTCATGGGTTCCTTGTTCGGCTTGGTAGCAATGCTGGGGCAGAAGTCCCTAATACAGCTTGATTTGCTCAAGCGAAAAATACACATCTTTCTGTCTGGGACTGAAAAGTAGCTGAAGGCGGAGGAACACCTCTGATTTTTCACTTTATTCAGAAGTTCAGCCAGCTGAGAACAATATTGTCTTGTTTTGACATTTCTTGAGGATATCAAGCCACTGATGGTAACTTTTCTCATTCCTCCAGTGTGCAGGGATTTGGTAGACTGTATTACTAATGGCTTGCTCTGTGGTGTTCCAAGTTATGACTAGGGAGTCTTGCATAGCTCAAAAATACAAGTCCTTAATTTTGTCCCCACATCAGTGGCCTAATGAATGCCACGGTAAAATATTACTATTAAATCATAGTAATATTTAATGTCTTCTTTGAGAAGGCTAAATATTGTAAAAAAAAAAATTAATTCTCACTTTTCCTCCTAAGAATATAATAAAACACAAGGACTCCCTGCTTCTGAGACCCCATCCTGTAAACAAGGGCTGGATGTGGACAGAGAGCTTTGCATGTACATTATCTGATAGTGTGCTGGTTGTGTGGGGACATGCAAGGTGCATCTTGATTATGTGGTCTAAGGAGGTCCCTGAGAGTGGGGTTGGCCCAAAAGGCGGGGTAAATGGGGCACAGATGGGAGCATTTCAATGCAGAAGAAGCAGCTAGAGCCGGAACTTGGAGTCGAGGAGAACTTGGGAGCTGCCTGGGGGTCTGAGGGGCCAGAACACAGGGGACCCTGAGGCCAGGGCAATGGGGTGGGAGATAAAGCTGGAAAGGCAGGGGCATGCACTCTTGGGGTGATTCTGAACCCCAAGTTAAGGACCTCCTTCTGTAGATGATGGGAGGCTGGTGAGGTTTTTAAATGGGGGAGCAGTGTTTTCGGCCACATGTTCGAGGGGCTTTTCCCAGCAGCAGTGTGTATGATGGCCTGGGCCAGGGGAGGGAGGGAGATCTTGGCCCAGAGACCAGCCGGGACTGGGTCGCGAGCCACTGGCAGTGGAGAATGGTAGGCAGACTGCGGGTGCTGGTGGGAGGTGGGAGAGAAGGGAAAGCAGAGAGGGCTTCAAGGCCTCGGACCTGTGAGGTAACTGGAGAAATGCCTAGACGTGCCTCTGGCACCAATGTAACAGTTGAGTCTCACCTTCTAGGAAGTGAAACTACCAAGAGTCAGGAAGCGTGCTTAGAGGCCACAGGGCACTGTGATCCGGGACAGAGACTTCCTCAGGCCTTGGGGAACTAGGTGATGGAAATGAGAAGACGAAAGGGGGCCTTCCTCTGCTGTGGGAGCAGAATGCGCTGGCCTGCCCAGCACACTGCACAGTGACCCTGGGAGCCACCGCTCCGGTACTGGAAACCACGGAAGGGGCAAGCGTCAAACCAGTCATTCAGACTGTGTCCCCAGCATGTCACTTTGTGCACGGCTGGCTTCAGCTATGGATTTGTGGCACCCGTTGGGTAATGATTCTGGGCTGCCTGGAGACAGCCCCGTGCTTCAGTAGCCCTCGTGACGGTGGATTTGTTGTCCACATTTTTTTTTTAAAGATTTTATTTGTTTATTTGACAGACAGAGATCACAAGTAGGCAGAGAGGCAGGCAGAGAGAGAGGAGGAAGCAGACTCCCTGCTGAGCAGAGAGCCCAATGTGGGGCTCGATCCCAGGACCCTGGGATCATGACCTGAGCCGAAGGCAGAGGCTTTAACCCACTCAGCCACCAGGCTCCCTGTTGTCCACATTTTTTGCCTGCTGACCTCGTGCGTGTGCTTCATCCCACCCGGTCACCTGGAAGGAGAAACCCGCAGCCCGTCAGTGACTCTCAGGCACCCCCAAGGCTACCTCAGCTTTGCAAACACGACCCACCCCACCTCCCTACTCCTAGGTCAGCCACGGAGAGGGACAGCAGAAATGGCATTTCTGGACTCAGGAATGGGGGACTGAAACTTGCAGCTAGGACAAGAAAGGGTACGGGCAGGCCTCAGGTGGGGCTCCCCCTTCTCCTTTCCCTGCTCTGACCTTACTGTCCTTGACAGAGCAGGAGACATCAGCTCAGCGGCCCCTGCTTTGCTGGGCTCCCAACTCTCACCCGAGCAGCTCACTCATGTCGGTCCCGTTCACATCAGGATTCACGTTGGGTTCCACTCAGGCAAGGGCTTCCACTGGGTGTGGGGTGGTGGTGCGGGGGACCAACCTGGACAGTATGTACATTTAACTCACTAAATCTGTGTGATTCTCAAGTTAGGCTGACAGAGTTCTGGGTAAAAGCAGCAGGGGAGAAATTTGAAGGGCTTCAGACCCCATATCCATTGTCAGTGTTTAGGTTGAGGAGGGATGACTTCTTAGTAGCAACTTCTCATGTAAGAAGTGTAAAGGACTTTTAAGAGAGAGAGATAGGTGCGTGGGCATGTGCGCGCACACACACATGGAAAGGGAAGCAAGCCCACCTGTCCAAGCACAGCTGGTGGTTCTTTTCCTTGGACGACTGGCTCCGAATATTTCCATCCCTCTCTCCCACCAGGCTGCTTACCCACAGAAAATCACGTAAAACTTCTGCTCATCCTGTCCGATAGGAATCTTCTGTGGTAACACATTAAATCCCGCATCCCACCCCAGCTTCCCAGGTTCTCCCCTTCACTGAGCCCCTGCTGCGTTTGCCTCATGCCACCTCGTCCTTCGTGGTCTACTCTCTTCATGTAGCTTTGTCTTTCCAACTAGCCCACGAGCTAGACACTCTCCCATCGGGTCTACTGCGGGTGCTCCGTCTGTGTTGACCACGATAGGCTGCCTGACAGTAACTGTCTGGTCAGCCCCGTGTTCCTGAGGAGACTAGAGCGCCCTCAGAACCAAGGAAGTGCCCCAAAACCGGCAGCCTGGCAAGAATCGGCTCTAAGGGCAACCAGAGCGGCAGTCCCGGGTAACCCACCGTCTGGGCCTCGCAGGGGAAGAGCTGG